AGTTCTCTTCTTTTCTTTTCAAGTTTCTTAATTTAATACTGCAGACGCGTGCGTTCTAACAGCGACTTTATAGTTCTGAACTCGTGGATGTAATATTTATATTTCAAATAACGTTAACAGTTGGTTTTATTATTTAATTATTTGGACTCACACTGCACACTAATAGTTCTCTTCTTTTCTTTTCAAGTTTCTTAATTTAATACTGCAGACGCGTGCGTTCTAACAGCGACTTTATAGTTCTGAACTCGTGGATGTAATATTTATATTTCAAATAACGTTAACAGTTGGTTTTATTATTTAATTATTTGGACTCACACTGCACACTAATAGTTCTCTTCTTTTCTTTTCAAGCTTCTTAATTTAATACTGCAGACGCGTGCGTTCTAACAGCGACATTATAGTTCTGAACTCGTGGATGTAATATTTATATTTCAAATAACGTTAACAGTTGGTTTTATCATTTGATTATTTAGACTCACACTGATGCTACAACTATGATAAATCAAATGTGAATGAAAACCTGATCTAAGTGATGTAACAATAAAGTCGCTGTTAGCACGCACGCGTCCGCAGTGTTAAATGATTAAGAAACTCTTTTGTCATTATTAGATTGCAATCTGCGATTCCTTGGAAAAGTTATACCTTCGTGACGAGTAGAATACTATGCAAGAAAAGAAAATTATTTTTGACCTTGAAATTCTCAAAGTCAAGATCAATTTTACGGCAGGTTCTTTACACGTATTTCCATCAAATCCAAGGCGTAGAATTCATCTGTGATAGCCGATAGGACAAACTCTTTTTCCCACCCTGTACATACATACATACATACATACATTTGTACGCTGGAAACGAGAGGAATATCGAGGTCGTCCTTTGGCAACGGAGAGAAACAGCTGACTGAGCGTTAGCGGAAAGCCAGCTGAACAAACGCGCAACCATGACACGTTTATGAAATACGGACGCTGCCCCGTCCATTGTGTGCCGTCGCTCGACAGACAGAGCTCGATTCAAAGCGTTCATCAGCGTGCCGTTGATCCACCTACCTGCGATCTGTCGCGTTGTCCGCGTGCTGCGTCTTCCTCTGCGAGTTGGTCACGTTCCCGCCAGAAATGTCAGGATCTTGCCGCAAACAGATTTGCTCGTACGCGTGCTCGGGCGGCTCGCGCGCAATCTCGGCCTTCCCGCTCGCCTGATAACCATTCTCGCCGGGCGATCGTTCGAGAACGCCGTTGTTGAAGTGGACGTCCACTTTCACTGAAAAATTCGTGGAAAAGCGCGCGTACGTTTCGTTTGATTGTGACACTTGTTCCGTGTTCGTTGCTGTGATCGCTCGGCGTGTTCGTGCCGATTGGTGAGGTGAGGCGCGGCGCCGCACGGCGCGGCGGCTCGAGAGATATCTGGGACTCGCGCCACTTACCAGTCAAAGTCTCGTCCTTCTTCTCGAAGTGATGTCGATGCCTGGCGTCCGTGTCGGCGAACAGCCGCGTGATCCTCGTGTAGACGAGATCGTGCGGGCTGTGCAGGTAGAAGGACTCGGTGTCCTTCGGCTTGACCGGCTCGCCGATGTACGCGCTCATCGGATTGATGTAGAGGCCGTCGCGTGGTCGCGAGCCGGGCGGATGCAGGAAAAACGGCTCTTGAAACATACCGCAGCCGCGCAACGAACACTAAAAACAAGCAACACAACGGCGTTCCCATTATATCGGCCGGTTGCCTAAGTCTCGCGTGCAAGCCTCTCGCACTCTCTTCCGGAAGAGTGGGCTCCTCGCGTCGAGTCGCGCCCGCCTCGAATTCCGATCGATCACGCGCTTTTATTCACGTATAGCGACTCCCCGCGACTGCCTTTTCTTAGTCGCTGTACTTGCCCCGACTTACCGCCATTTTACGAACAAGAGATTGTCTATTAACTCAAGCGAAAGCGAAGCTCTACGGCCTTTAACTCTACTAGCCTTGTCGGCGGAGCTCGTCGTGCAGCTGCAAGTCGTCGCGTCGCTCATGTTCTCCGAATACTCTGAACCGGAACGATCCCTGGCCATTCCGCCGGTGACATCGGTACGGTGGGCCTCCCCGCTCCTTTCCTATGGGATACAACACTCCGTTTTTCCCTCGATTCTCTTCTATTCTCTTCTCTTCTCTTCTCTTGTCTCCTCGATAGATTCACGACTCATCCCGATTTACTTATTGTTAGTTGCCTAGTTAAGGCGAGCCAACAACTTCAATTAAGTTTCGGGTCTCTCTCTCTCTCTCTCTCTCTCTCTCTCTCTCTCTCTCTCTCGGTCTCTCGCTCGCTCGCTCTCTCTCGGGTTGAACTTTCTACGCGGAAGAGAGAATCTCGAACGACGCGCGCGCACGCGATCGCCACGGATTCGGATAAAACGGTGGACGTAATCGCGTAAACGGTTGCGCCAGGGTTACGAGCCTGTGCGAGTTACCGACACCCGTAACGTCGCCGTTTCGTAAGCGTCGCTCGACTTATTTTAACGCTGTAGCTACCAGATTGGTCAAATTGACTAGTTTATAATCATAAAGTTTTATGACAGAGTTTTATAAATATGTATATATATAGAATCACTGGAACTACCGAACACTATAGAAACTAGTTTAAAACTACCAAAGTGACGAATTTATAATTATAAATTTATAACAGAATTTTATAGATGTATGTAGAATCATTAGAATTACCAAATATTACAGAAACTATTTTAGAACTACTAAAGTGATCAAGGTGACTAGTTTATAATCTTATGATAGAGTATTATAAATATATATATATATATATATATATATATATATATATATATATATATATATATATATATATATATAGAATCAGTGAACTATCAAACACTATGAAAACCATTTTAAAACTACCAGAATGGTCAAAGTGTCTAGTTTATAATTATAAATTTATAACAGAATCTTATAGATGTATGTAGAATCATTAGAATTACCAAATACTACAGAAACTATTTTAAAATTACTAAAGTGATTAAGGTGACTAGTTTATGATCATAAACTTATGACAGAGTATTATAAATATATATATAGAATCAGTAAACTATCAAACACTATGGAAACCATTTTAGAACTACCAGAATGGTCAGTGTCTAGTTTATAATTATAAATTTTATTATCATTAGAATCATTAGAATTACCAAACACTATAGAAACTATTTTAGAACTACTAGAGTGATCAAGGTGACTAGTTTATAATTATAATTTATAATTATAAATTTATAACAGAATCTATACAGAATATATATATATATATATATAGAATCATTAGAATTACTAAACACTATAGAAACACTAGAACTACCAAAATGATTCTGTGATAAGTTACAAAATTCTGTTACATGTATATATAGAATCACAAAAACTACCAAACATTATAAAAACAGTAGAACTACCAAAGTGATCATAGGTAACCAGTTTATAATTATAAATTTATAAAAAATTCTGTTATTTATATATATATATATAATAAAAATATATATATAATAAAATTCTGTATATATAGAATCACTAGAATTACCAAACACTACAGAAACATTAAAACTACTAAGCGTAGTCAAAGTGACCAGTTTATAATTATAAATTTATAACAGAATTTTACAAATTTATAAAATTCTGTTATATATAGAATCTTTTATATATATATATATATATAGAAATAATTATATATATATATAGAAATTTTATAAATTTTATATTTTTATATTTTATATTTTAAAATTATATATATATATAAATTTTATAAATTTACGACAATCTATTTTCAGAGGCCCGACTGATTTCTAGTAAAATATGTCGACAGAAGCTCGTGCTCTTATACAGGGTGGGCCAAAAATGACTCCCTACTAAAACAAAGAGCACAAATTTACGAACACGCTGGCGGTTGGCGTTTGAAAGAGACAATTTTCAAAGCACAGTGGAAAAAAAGGATCACTCGAACATGAATTTAACTTAAAATTAAATTCAAAATTAATTTTTTCTCATATTTTGACGTTTCATTAAATAAAAGAAAAAAAAAAAAAGAAAAAGAAACAGGGGGGGAAGAGACTTTTGACCCACTCTGCACTACGAATTCTTTTTGCCGTTCCACGCGTCTCAATTTCTCTGCGGCAAATATTTTACAGTTTGGCCGCCGGTAGTTCCAGCGTTAAATGGCGAGCGGGTAACGAGTAACGCGATTCGAACGAAAGACACGGCCGTTCTCTTTCGTTCGGTGACCGAGCGCACGCGGAGAGAAAACGCGTTCCTCCCGAGTTGCCGATACGCCCGAGTTACCATTTTCCACGCAATTTTTCTCTTGTTGTCTTTCGCGCCGTTTGTTTTGCAAATGGTCCGAATGATCGAGGATTCGGTTCACGATCGTCGATCAACCACCGAGCTTCCTCTCTCTCTCTCTCCCCGTTGCTCGAATTTTCCCCGACAACGGCGTTCGTTTCGTTGCGCTCGCCACGGAACTGCGACATGCTGGCTGCGTAACCGGGTGAAGGACGACGAACGATCCGTGGACAGACGATCGAGAAACTCGCGTGACACGCGTCTAGGTGACACGTTTTTCTTTTTTTCTTTTCGATTCGAAGAAAGGAAAGAAATATCTCTCCGTTATCGTTGCTCGAACGTTGAACCATTGACCCATATGGAAAGCGAAGACGATTTTCCATTTTCCATTTTCCGGGGGCCGAGCGTACGAACGATTCGACGATTCGTCACACCGTAACGAGAGAAGCGAACGTAATTTGTAAATACTCCGAGTGCCTACCGGGTTCGCTCGCGTTTTCCCTTTCCCCTTTCCTCTTTGGTTCCTCTCGATCGCGAGAAACTACGGTCGTGGCGGTTGCTGGTGTTGACTCGCAGAGGGTGAGAAAAGCGGGCAACGAGCGTCGTACACGAGCTCTCTCGACCTCGTTCCGGTTCACTTACGTGTACACCCATGCAAAAATCGGGACGGCGATTCGTTCCTGTCCTCGCGGCTCCAGAGACTGATCTCCAACGAGGCTGATCTCACGGTGACGTTACGTTACGTCGAGCTCGATCGTTCGATGCATCCGCGGCTCACCGAGTGGATACGAGAATACGACGATTTTGAAGGTGGACTGGCGAGGCACAGAGGCTGATCTAACGGTCCCGGTTGCCCGGCTACTTTATATATATATATATATATATATACTCGTATCTTTCGCGCGGCAAAGTCGAACTTTTTTCGCGACCGAAAGCGAGAACTCGAGAGACCGGTCCCCGGCGACAAACTCGATCCGCGCACGGTAAGCGGCAGACCGAGACTCTCTCGTCGAATCGAGCCCACCTGTCGCCAGCGAGAGCCGGCCAACTGCTCGCAACCTTCCTCCTCGGAGTAGGGATACGTACCTCCGTGGCTACGGCTACCTAGTTACGTACTACCGATCTATCCGAACGGAGCCGTATCCTCCACGCCACGATGCCACGTTTCTCTATCACATGTACAGGGTGTTTCGTAACTTGTGGGACCCACTTCGGGAGCTGGTTGTACGCCTAAAAACAATGAAAAAAAGTCATACAAATATATGCCCTATCTGTCTTCGTTCGTGAGATATAATGAATTTTATAGACAGAGCAAACTCTAGTAGGCTAGTTTCACCAGGGATGGTATATTCGATTTTCATAATAATCATAATTGGGACGATGAAAACCCACGTGTTATTGTGCATGCAAGACATCAACACAATACGTTTAGTTTAAACGTATGGGCAGGAATAATTGATAAATTTTTAATTGGACCTTTTTTTCTTGATGAGAAACTAACAGGCGCAAAGTACGTTGATTTTTTTGAGCACGCGTTTATACGAAATATTAGAGCAAGTTCCAGTCGATATTAGACTTTGTACGCGGTTTATGCATGATGGAGCTCCGCCGCGTTTTAGCCGAGTGGCTAGGCAATTTTTAAATCAACACTTTGCAAATAAATGGATTGGTCGTGGAGGTCCTATTGCATGGCCTGCTCGTTC